TTCTTGGTGGGATACAACCAGAAAAAAATGATTTAAAAACTGGAAATATTGATAAAGAAAATCTATGGGTAATTTTACTGCATTTTGGAGTTACAGTTTTCTAAAAATACGAATATTTAGCTATGATTGCTGTTCTCTCCCTCTACCCATTTGTGTTTTTTCTAGCTTACCTCAATAACAATGAACTGTGAGCCATGGACTGATGCATTCTAAGCCTGGGGGATTCATTCCTTCTCCCTTCATTGTCCCACAACGTGGTTTGCTCTCCCCAGTTCCCTCTCATTTACCTCGAGCCTGCCTACTTCAATTTTCATCTAGTGCTTCAGGTCATTACAATCCATCAGAGGAGCTCTATACCTGAGATTCTTCCTAAGCCTGTGTTTTCCCTCACCAATTAATATTTTGGTGTTAAACACAGTGAGACAGGGACAGATATTGGACAGTGTTGACGGAAAGGGAAGGGGAGTTCCTTGCAGTAACATCTGTAAGTGTAGAATCCATGCTCTCAAGATCACCTTCCTCCTGGAATGTCTCACAAATTTTGACTAGGAGAGCTGAACATGCCGATATCATATTTTCTTTTCAAAATAATAATGCCAGCACCATGTCATTTTAAAATCACTGTACCACAAATTAAAATTTGAAAGCCATCACAGAGTATTTCTTTTTCCCAAGATTCTAGCAATATTGTTTGATTATTTGAGATGATGCATGCTGTTACTTTGTAGTTAAACCAAGAAAACTTACTATAGATACAAGTTATGTTTACATTTCAAAAGCTTCACAGTCTAAATTCCAGGGCAGGCTGCTGTTTTTGTACCACTTCTGCATCCACGGGTGTCACTGTGATAAGCCCTGCTGTGCCAGATGCCACATTAATAGTCAGCTTTATCCTCAGGCTGCAGCCCAGAAATATGCAAAACTCCTGCATTGGCTGAGGTGTCTTTTGAACCAGAGAAGTGGTTAGGGATGCCAGAGCCTAGTTGCTTATTTGAGTCTGTGTAGTAGTGTAGGAGAAACGAGGGAGGGCTCCCTGGCCCTTGCTGGTGCCAATATAGGTCCTTTCCTCCAACACTGATGTCACTTCTGAAGGTGCAAGTAAGTCTGGGAGCTGCTCCAGGAGATGCAGAGAGTGAGGGTTCCTGAGTCACCAGATCCTGAGATTAGGAGACTGCAAATACAGACCATGCTGGATTAAGGAAAAGTGACCACGTTGATGTTTGGCAAGACTCATAGCAAAGGTTGTCAAATTGCTGGATGTCTGCATGTTCTGTTCTTAACTGAGCAATGAAAGAACAGGAGGAAAAAAGAAGTCCAGGCCATGGTGGAAACAGACTTCTTATCCCAACAGTGACTTGAGCTTCCCCAGGCCTCTTTTTCTGTTCCATGCCCTGTTGGAGGAGCTGTTCTTGCAAACATGCTTCCATCTTGTGTACTCCAGTCCCTCCCTGAGGCCTGGCATGGGGCTCAGCTCACACTGTAAAATCAAGCGGAAGAAAATTTGATTTATATTTTATGCAAGCCCTGAGAGAAAGCAACTTCCGGAAATAGACAAAACCCTTGCTCAAAATGCTCTGCAAGACCACAGATAATATCACACTGTAACATAGCAGAACTGGATTCGGTGCTCCGGTGCTGGTCCTTTCTGTGAATAGTTCTTTCATATAGCTGTTCTTTCAATAGTTCTTTCAAAAGCTGTTCAGTATCACAGGACAGCTGTACACTGGTCCCTGCTCGTCACAGTATACAGCTCTGCCCATGGCTCAGAGGCCACCCAATGTATCATATCTGTCCCAAACATATAATGACCTGACTTCAAGTTTTTGTGATTTGATACACACTACAATTGTCATAAATTCTTACTCCTAGAGAGAGTCCTGTTTGTATATGTTTAGCGCATCTAGAGATGGTGTTATAAAGTATATGTTCTCTTATTGATAAGTGATTATCCTATAAAAGCACAAATCAGTTCATTAACTGTGAGCCCTGTGTCCTTTTTAGGCTCTGGCAAAACTGAGGCTTGTGGAATGCCTAGAGTGGTTTAATAACATTTTTAATAGTTTATGCTCTAGTTCTGTTTAAGATTTTTTCTGTCATACAGGTTTTTTAGTTTTATTGTCCTATGTTTCTTTCATAACAAAATAATTAGATTAGTTAATTATTTTGTAGGTAATACACTGTTATGATCTTAAAAGAATATACAAAATATTACTCTGGGTAAAAGTCATGGACAAAATCACTCTCTCGTTCCAAGATGGACAAACTGTCTTTTCAATGAATGAAGAGAAATGAGTAGTATTCTCACAGAAAATGGAAACAGACCAGATGGAACACACATTGCACAAGGAATGTGAAAGGCAACAGCTTTGGACTAAAGTCCAAATCACCAGCACCATCTTTGGGCCAAACAGATAGTTATATCAGCTTTTAGGAAAGGCTGATAGTGAGTTGTTTTACATTTGGTGACATATGTTTCATCATACATCCTTAGGCAGATTTGCCTCCAAAAAGTTATTTGAGGGTCACTATCCTATAACAGGGAGGTCAGGGGCCAGGGTAAGCAGGAAGAATTGATCATTATCTAGACTGAGCCAGGTTTCTTTCTAGGTGATAATTCCTTGAAAGAAGTTAACATAACAAAAAGCACTGTCCAGCTGATGCACACTTACCTTTCAAGTGGCAGCTGGTGTTGGAATACCAAGGCCAGCTGAGTTTGAACGTGCTGGGCTTGTCTTTCCTGCTCTCAATATACTGTCAGGTTATAAGTTTTAAAATTTCCTTTATAGTATAAGTGAAATAAATCTTACAATGAAAAATGAAAGATAGATGGTCAGCAAATCAGGAGAAGCTCAATTATTCCCCAAATGATCTTTCCATTTCATCAAAAACATTTTAACATATGACATCTGAAGAGTTTGATATTTAACTTTTAAAAATTACATTACATTACCTTTGAGGACATTTATTTATTATTTTCCTATTTGATTAAGAATGTGTAAATTGGCCCACCACTGAGATTTTCCAGTTGTTGTTCAAAAATCTCTACCACAGAACTACTTTAGCACTGGGCATTTTAGTGCTGGTGACTAGGGATGGTCTTTCCTCCTGTAGCTTGTGATTTTCCTAGGACTTGCCAAGTGATTTTTATACTTGCTTCCTAGGCATTTGTAACGTGCGGAATTCAACACACATGTGTTAATGGTCTGACAGGATACCTGAATTTTTCCCTACCTTTTCTCTATTAAATTTCCATTGAACTTTTTCAAGACAAACGAGACACACCTCCATCTGAAATCATTGAATTTCAGATTTAGAATCATTTAAATTTTGTTGGACATGAGTCAGTTGAGATGTGCTTTCTGTCTTCTGAAAAGTCTCCTGAAGTCTCTCATCTCCCTTATCGGTTGTCTCAATCTTTCCTTTTCAATTATTGACACAGTGTTTTCTGTAGTCAGAGTTTGTAAGGAAAACAATTTAACACAGGGCATACAATTTACAAACTCATTCTATAATAGTCACCCAAAGAATCAAATACAAAAGTATAGGAAATCTCTCAATACACGAAAGACCGCAAAGAGTCCAGCTGAGGGCCTGTGGCAGTATCCTGAATAAGTTCCGTTGAAGACCCAGAGCCCCCGACAGTGTCTCATACAAGTCTGTTTCAAGCATCTGTGCTGGGAAGGCCCGAAGGTCAGTGATGGAACTAGAAAGTCTCTGCCATTAGGATGAAGAATCTGTGCCAGTAGTCTGAGTTATCAGTCCCTGCAGGCTGAGAAGCAGAGCACAGGACCAGTGCCAGAGGAACAGGAATGTGGGACCATGGGCAGTGGTGGGGAACCTATGGGTTATGTGTGCCACTGGCCCGTTTTCACTGAAAGCTCTTAAGAGTTGGTCATTACCGATATAGTGTATCCAAGGCCACGCCTCCACGACCCACCAATTCAACACCAGCATGCTAGGTATTTCTTTATTAAACGAAGCAGATCTATCAGGATCAATAGTCACAAATAGACTATTGGTAGACAAGGAGAAAAGAATATGTGTAGCTGAGTAAGTGGCATGGCAGAGAAATGTGAATGTATATACAATCAAATATATTATATGCATGTATGAATATATCACATTTAAAACCAGGAAGTGTTTAATGAGAACTAATGAAATAAAATTTATGTATATATAATCAATTTTACATAGTTTTAATAAAATACTATATATATAAGGATTTAGAGAAGTAGTTATGAATCAATACAATGTAATAACCATAGAAATTACATATCTTTTTTAAAGAATTTATTGTTGTTTTCAACACAGCTTTTATTGTAGAGCTGTAACTTTACTAATGTTGTACTGTTGACTGGTTTTCTGTAACTCTGAATTCCTTGCTCATGTGTTTCCTGGCTACTCAGACTATCCTGGCTTAACTCACTGTTGCACAGATATTTATTTAAATGCCTAGAAGCAATGAATCTCAGCCATTGTCAAAGACCCTGCATGTCTCAAGACACTGCAAAACTCTAAAACTTTCAGTCTGCCTTAACTTCATTTATTTTTGCACAGATATTCAATTTAGCGAGAGGAGAAAGCCTAGAAGCTTCTCATTTACTACCTGGATATGCACATAACCCTGAGCACCTGAGTATGATTCTGCTTCCACAAGAGTATACTAGAGCTCAACATGCATTGTGTACCTCTGTGCTGGTAAATTTTGATTGTTATCCTCACTGCATTTAGAGCTACCGAGGAGCCTGTCAGCTTTCCAAAGATGATTGGCAAACTCAGGTGAAATGACTCATGCTGTTGTGGGTGACATGATCCAGTAGGCTTGCAGCCCAGATGGAATGAGAAGTGAAGAGGTAAGTTGACTACACTAGAATGCTTGATGTTCCTCACAAGTTCAGACTGCAGAATGTAGAAATACTGAACAATATGTTAAACATTATATCTAAGTCTTTGTGGCAGCCTTGCTAAACAGAGTAAATGGTTTTCATCCCACTTCCCCATTTGAATGTGTCACTGTGTCTTAACCATATGACCCACCAATGTTGTAATTAGCACCACAGATATAGTCAGCTTCATCCGCAGAATTGATGTTGGTGATGGTCAAGTAGCGTTCGGTCCCAGAGCTGGAACCTGAGAAGCGGTCAGGAATTCCATTTCCTTTAATGAGGCTTCCATCGCTCTTAACCCACATCAAATACTGAGGAGCCTTCCCCGGGTACTGCTGAAACCATGCAATGCCATAGTGTTTATATTCACTGTTGAGGGTGCAGGTGAGCTTGGCCGAGGCTCCGAGGGATGCAGAGGCAGAAGGTGACTGAGTCAGCACAAGCTGGGACAGAGACCCTGAAAACACAGAAACTCATTATGTTATGGAGAAAGGAAAAGAGAAGAGAATGTTTTAGGAATGAGTCTGAAAGGTGAATTCAGTGAGCTGAAGAATCAGGGCATGGTTCTGACCTCTGCAGTAAAAGATGACAAAGAAGAGGAGTGGGGTCCAGGCCATGGTGCAGACACACCAGAACTCTCAAGCAGGCTCTGTGCAGGTCTGTCTTATATATCCTCAATCACAAGAGGAGACAGAGTTCTCTTTATGCAAATTAGCTTCTCTTACCTTGGGTCTATTAACAACCAATACCTGTGTGTTGTTTCTAGGAGGCAGGCAGAAACTATACTGAGCTTGGCTGTAGAAGACAAGAAGGAACTGGCTAGTGGCCCAAAGTATCCTTCAGCAAGGACCAGGAGGCAAACTTCTGATTTCCTAGTTGAGTGACCCACAGACTCCACAGAAGAAGGATACAGTGCTGGCCAGGCTCAGGTCCATTGTTTCTGTGAGCATATGACTGACAGCAGCTGCTCAGACCATGACTTTAACTCCTGCCTGCCTGTGCCAAAAGCAGAGTGAGTCCTTCGCTCAGGGGCAGCCCCAACATTGTCTCCATCTTGGCTTTCTACTTGAGCCTTATCAGTGGAATCAAACTCCTTTATCAGGAATGCTATTAGAAGGTAGGCTTCTTAATCGTGGTTTATCTGCAATGAGAGCTACATTACCTAACTGTATGGAAATTTCAAAAATGAACTCATATCTCACATTCTCTTGATACCTCCTAGATATACTTTATTAAGATCTAAAGGGTGGCTGCTTTTCTTTTCTCTTCCATGTGGAAAGAACATTACCAAAGATGTTTTTGTATAGAGTAAATAATGTGACTGCAGTCTTCAGATCTTAAATCACAATTGCTGTAGTTTTAGGAAATTTTAAAAATTGAATTGTGTAACTGCACATGGCAAACAAGACAGCTCATGTATTCCCTTCACCTTCAGATTAAAACATGAGGGAGAATCAACTCGGACAGTTTCCTACACCTTTCTCTTGGGGAAGCAGCATGTCTCTGTGCCAGAGTATTCATTGTCCAGTAACATGATCTTCTTTGTATCAGGGTTAGTCAGACCTGTGTTTAGGTTTTGATTCCCCACCTGGATCTTCCTGTGTTGAGCAGTGCTGTCATGTAGCACATGATAGCACTGAGTTTTATTCTGAGGCTGGCTCCCCTAAGAGTTAAGGCGACTTTGTCATGGGAGGGAACTTGCAGACCTGACAGGAGACTAACAGTGCCTATGGCTTGTATCAAAAATCATTGCTGTGGATATTTGGGCACATTCTGCTGGGACTAGTAAGGAATGTGACCATCAGTGATTGCTAAAACACAGCAGGCACAGATAATAATGCCGGAGCTTCTGACGGATAGGGGTTTTGAAGGATCCAGGATCACCAGAGCCTGAGGACTTGACCCCAGCCTAAAAATCAACACACGTCTGGGATGAGGAAGAAGGACAGAAAGCTTACTCATAAGGTAAGTGTGTGAAATCTACATGACTTGGGTAGAGTAAGGAGAGATGGATTGAGAAGCAGACCTGTGTAGGCCACAGGGTGGACTTTCCAAGAGTTCTTGAGCACCTGCAACTGCTGCTGACTCTAGGCTGATCCTTGTATGTCTCCTTCAATTTTTATGGCCTATTGTTCTTTGGTGTCATGTACAATTGTGAATCTTTTAACAATGCTGTCACCACCATCAGTGGCAGGATCCTGAGTTCAGAAACCTGCACTGCTATTGGGGTGGCTGCATGTTGTGAGCTCTGTGTTTTCCCATGAGAGGAAGCAGCTGCTCTAATATCTGTCTCAGGCCACTAAGCACAAACCACGTCACTAACCCTGAGCCCTGTGTGTCTGTATCAGGCTCTGGCAACCCATAAGGAGGCTCGCAGTGCCCCCTAGTGGACTTCCACAACTATTTGTAGTTTATCCTCCAGTACTATCTTCTGTAATATACGACTTTTAGTTTCATTGTTCTATGTTTGTTTCATAATGAAATAATTCAATGATAACAATAGTTAATAAACATCCATATTATTAAGCGAGTGGCTAAAATTTTACTTACAATACAAGTCATAGATGAAATAGACTCACTCTTACAATGAAGGGGCAAATAAGAGAATAAAATCTTTCTTCTGAGTGAACAAAAAGAAATTAGTATTATAAATGAAACCAATTTGCATATATCTTAAAGAGAATAGTAGAAGACAGATCATCAGGAACTAGGGAGAATTTCAAATAATTTACCAAAGTATCTGTTTCACTGTTTCAAGAATAAGATACATGGCTTCTAACTTGTGTTCCCACAGAGTTTGGCTTTAAAATGTTATTTTTTGGATTGTAAGTTCCCTTACATTGCTCTGATGATGACTATTTACTCCTTTCCCATTTGTTTCAAAAATGTGTGAAATAGTTCATTTTCAGGATTTTATGTGTAGTTCATTTTCTGCTATTTGGTTTTGAATGTCCTGTAATACTTTCATTTTCTTGAATGGGTTTATACCATTTTGTTATGTTTCATACTATTCTATGTGAAGGTATGCTCAGCTATTGCAGAGGAAAGGGGCATTATGGTAGCTACTGTTAACGTCCAGTTGTCTTGTTATAAAGTGCTGTGTTGCTTACCTTGTTCTGTTCTGATTTGCTTTGTTCTGTCCTCTTTTGTTTCATTCTCTTTAAAATAAACCTTTTTAAAAATCTCTACCACATAACTTCAGCACCTGAGCTGTTTCAGTGGTTTGTCTGGGAATGGTTTTCACTCTTTTAGCTCATGATTTTACTAGTGGTTGAAAAGGTTATATTAAATTTCTTTCCTAGAAATTCATAAAGTACACGGGTATGTTAGTGATCTGAAATGGTACTTGTTTTAGGTTTCTTGGTTTTCTGTACCAATTTTCCACAGAACTTTTTGGAGGTAAACAGAACATACCTCTCTTTGAAAGTATTTATTTTCAGATTTTAGAATCAAATGTTGTTAGACATGGGTCACTTGTGGCGTGCTATCCATCTTCCGAAACTGTGTCTTACTCTTTCCCTTTGAATTTGTAGCACAAGGAAGATTATGATTTCAGGAAACAAATGCATATCTGATCTGAAGAGACTGTCAGGACTGAGGGGAAAAAGTGTTTGCTCTTTTCCCATTTGGGATACAGATACCATGTAAATCTCCACTGGCATTAAACTGGTTTCTGAACAAGTCATTTGGATCAGAAGCAGAGGGCTGAGCCTGTACCAGCACTACATTTCTATTTCCTTTTGTACTGTACTATTGTCTCCTATGCACCTGAACACTTGAATACTCAGACTCATTCTGTGGCTGCTTCCCAAGGCTAATGTTGGCCCATTTCATGGCTGAAGGAAGAATTATTTATACTTAGAAGATGAGTGGAAATTACTGTCCTCTTACCCTATTAATAAGAAGGATCTTTGTGGTAGCTATGAAATCAATCACTAAAGCTCAGTGATGACTTATAGAGATTTTAGAGTGAACCCCTCTGATCTCATGACGTTAGAAAGAGGAGAGAAGAAAGACTGGGAGAAAATACACGGGAGAAATGGGGGCATCTTCAGACAGACAGGATGAAGCCAATGGCCATGCAGGGCTGAATGGGCAAATGGTGCTCGGGGACTGCTTCCCTCTGTGATGTTCAGCAGGTCCCTCACTATTGTCCTAAATCACAGAAGATGGGACTTTACTATAAGCTTTGTAAACTACAACCCAATATATCTGCAGCTTTTGGGGGAGGTGGTAGAGAAAGCTACATTAGGAACAGAGCTTTTGAAAAGACTTGAGTTACCTAAAGTTTGAAGTAAATATTTGCTTGTCGTGTTCCAAATTGATATCAGACATTGTTTAAAACCTCTTGTGGGTCACAAAAGTGGTGTTCTCACTTCACACCTCAACCTATGATTTCATGTAGATTCCTTAAGGAGTGCCCATCCTCCTGAGGGAAAGCAACTCTATGGAAATCAGATCCATGTACCCCACTTAGTCACTAGACAGGGTTTCAGAGGCTTCTAAAAGTTGTGATGAGGGAACTAAAGCCTCCTTAGTTGAGAATAAGCTGCAGGTTCAGGAACTTGTATCATGGTAAAAGAATATTTCATATATGTCACTAAGGGGCACTACAAAGTTTACTGGGCAGAAATGAAGATGTACAGACACAAAGAAATTGATTACTCTAGAGAAAGAGAGATGCATGCAATCATTTGAAACTGAAAATATATACGTGTCTTTGGCTGTTTTCATGTGTGAATGTTTGAAAGTATATGAAGTTACATCTTGGTCTTGTTCCAAGGGAAACAGGATGATTCTCATAAGATAATGGCCAACTGGGCCAGCAGTTTAGGTGAGAGGCAAAAACACCAGCCTAAGGAAATGCAAGGTTGTGAGTTCAACTTGTGGTTCCAAAATAAATAAACAAATTTAAAAAGATAAACCCGTGCTTACAATTAAATGCTTGCGCCCTAACAATACCTTTGACAGATAATTTGAAATGTTTTGCCTACAAAATTTTTGCACTCTCATATGTTCTTTTAATATCAGCATTTTTCCCTTAGTCAACAAAACAATTTATAGACTTAAAGTATTTTTAGACATTTTGGGTATAATACACCAAAGAAATATATAAAAACACCACAGGATTATTCATATGGATAATCAAAGAGTAAATCAAAGAGTTACAGTCTTTCTAAAAATACAAATATTTAGTGATGATTGTTGTTATCTCCCTCTACCCATTTGTGTTTGTTCTACCTTACCTCCATAACATTCAACTCTTGGCAGGTGATTAGAAATCCATCAGAGTAGCTCTGTACCTTAGATTCTTCCTGAGCCTGTGCGCTCCATCACCAGTTCATATTTTGGTGCTGGACACAGTGAGACATGGGCTTCAAGGGACATTGTTGACTCCAACAGAAGGGGAGCTCTTCAGTGGGGTATCATTAAATGTAGAATCCATGCTCTATAGACCAACTTCTTCCTTGAATGGCACATGATCTCTGACTAGTAGAGTATGATAAAGCTGATCTTATAATTTTTTGTTAAAATAAATATGCCAGAACCAGGTTCTTTCATGTCATTTTACAATCACTGGGGCACCGAGCAAAATTTGGAAGCCATCACGCTTTATTTCCTTTTCCTGAGATTCTGGCAATATTGTCAGGTAATTTGGGATGATACAGGTTGATTTCCCCACTCCTCCTTGATCTGAAGAGCTT